ATTTATTTAAGGCCCAATTCGTGGTTATTATGATTAGGGCTTAGGGTGTTAGTTTCCTATTCTGATTAGAATTACTTTTCCCTATTTAAAGGGGGCTTGTAACCCTAATTGGGGGAGGCTATTGAATCTGAGATTTTGAGAGACTTTTCTCTTTGGTTCGTTTCAGAACTTTACAGAACTTATCAAGATTATTCTTGTGGCGTTCTAACCTGACTTATCATTCTCGTTCTTAATCGTTCGAGGGTGTGGCGTCAACCAACTTTATACCTCTGGTTCTTGTTGCGTCATAGACAACGGGTCAAGGTTTTTACCTTTAGTTTTTGTTGTGACATAAACAACGGGTCAAGGTCCTATTATAAACCTGATTTAGCTTTCCTGGAGATTTAGAAATCCCTTGTCATGCTGTGGGTCTAATTGTTCTTTTTGGGGTTCCCATCACTATTGAATCTGAGATTTTGAGAGACTTTACTCTTTGGTTTGTTTCAGAACTTTACGGAACTTATCAAGATTATTCTTGTGGCGTTCTAACCCGACTTATCATTCTCGTTCTTAATTGTTCGAGGGTGTGCCGTCAACCAACTTTCTACCTCTGGTTCTTGTTGCTTCATAGACTCAGCCATTCTTGAATTGCTCAGACTTTTTCTTCATCAACCTGTCTTATTTTGCTCTTCTGAATCTATGTTGTTAGTTCAAAAGAGAGAGAGAGAGAGAGAGAGAGAGAGAGAGAATGCACGAAAATAAGAAAAAAAAAAAGGAGGAAGAAGTCGTACAAAAACAAAAAAGGAAGAGGATCGCCAAATACAAAAGACGCTAAAAAAAATAAATAAATAAAAGAAAAAAAAAGGAGAGAGAGAAACAAGCAACACAATTCTATGGTTGGAATTCCTTATATAGAGAAGAAATCTGTGGCCAAATCCTTAAAGAAGAAGGAATCCGACTACAATAAAAAGTTGGAAATTCTCTTTGAGTTCTATTCAAACAAGGAGATAGCAATTTTGTTTATTCCTTCCTAAGTTAGGAATCCTACTGCATTAAAGAATAGTAAAGTTAATTCTTACTAGGAAGTGCTTGAACTGATCTATTTGTTTTAATTTGTTTGTGTTTGGTTCTTTTATTGCCTTTCTTGGTCGTTCCTTTATGTCTTTCTGTTTCCTTTAACTCTTGCAGATTTGTTGGAGTTAGATTGCTGCAAAATAACTTGAATTGAGCTGTTTAGTTCAATAATGAACTGACAGAGAAAAGTTGAGTGAGGGAAAAAGGCAAGAGGTGTGAGCAACACTTGATAGAAAAGCCAAGTTCTACAGTGTGCAAAACACGAGCGTTGAATGCCATTCTGTGAAAGAGTGGAGTGAAACACATAAGGGAGTGTTGTGAGATCCTTTTATTCTTCTGTTTCTAACATTCATTGTAGGTTTCAATCATGTCAAGTGGTGATGACAAATCAACCACTAGAAGACAACCATGTGGATGAATCTCACATGCTCAAAGCAATGCAACAACAATTTCAGAGGCTGGACATCATGTTTGGTGAGATTAGAGACAAAATGGAGAAGCAAGATGCAGCTACAGCCAATTTATATACCAAATACAGAATGGAAGTCCGAATTTGTGTAGGAATGACACTAATGATGATCTCAATGACGATTATGAAGGTGCATTCAACAATGATGCCCAGAACTCAAATTTTAGCATGGACAGATTTATGAGAGGTAGAAGGGATCAAAAAGGTAGGTTCAACCGAGGGGAGCAAAATCTGACGAGGTGGGGAGATCGGCAAGATCGTGACTTAGGTAGCATCAAGAGCAAAATCTGACAAGGTGGGAAGATCGGCAAGATCGTGACTTAGATAGCATCAAAATGAAGATTCCTCCGTTGCAAGGCAAAAATGATCCAGATGTGTATTTGGAGTGTGAAAAGAAGGTGGAATTGGTGTTTGATTGCCATAACTACTCTGAGGAGAAAAAGGTGAAATTAGCAGTGGTGGAATTCACTGATTACGTTGTGGTGTGGTGGGATCAGCTTGTGCTTAGTTGACGTAGAAATCGAGAGCGTCCTGTTGACACTTGGGAGGAGATGAAAGCTGTGATGAGAAAACAATTTGATGGGAATCAAGACGACAGCATATCTACTACGTCATGTGATCCATTACACACCCAAGGAGGTCCAGTCACGCGAGCTAGAGCTAAGAAGATGCGTGAAGCTTTAAATGGCCTTATTGAGCAGATCTGGGTTGAAAACAATATACAACAAGCAAATCGAAGGTTGGATGATTATCAAGGCATGGTAAACATCATTCAGGTTCAAGAGAAGCTTAGTTGAGGTCATTTGCACGGAATTACACAGTTTGCGTCAAAATCGCACAATTCTGCCACAATTTGTAGCAAACTGATATTCCGTGTTATTTTAGATTATTTTTAGTGATTTTCACATTTTTTGTATTATTTTTGGGCTGAACATTCGCTTATTTGAAGCCCAATTCGTGGTTATTAGGTTTTGGACTTAGGGTGTTAGTTTCCTATTCTGATTAGGATTTATTTTCTCTATTTAAAAGGCTTGTAACCCCAATGGGGAGGGAGCTATTGAATCTGAGTTTTGAGAGACTTTTCTCTTTGGTTCGTTTCAGAACTTTACAGAACTTATCAAGATTATTCTTGTGGCGTTCTAACCTGACTTATCATTCTCGTTCTTAATTGTTCGAGGGTGTGACATCAACCGACTTTATACCTCTGGTTCTTGTTGCGTCATAGACAATGGGTCAAGGTTTTTACCTTTGGTTTTTTGTTGCAACATAAACAACGGGTCAAGGTCCTATTATAAATCTGATTTAACTTTCCTAGAGTTTAGAAATCCCTTGTCGTGCTGTGGGTCTCATTGTTCTCATCACAATTTGTTCCTAGTCACTACTACCGTGATCTTTATCAACGATTGCAGGGCCTTACACAAGGGTCCAAAAGCGTTGAGGATTATCACTAGATGGAAATCGCAATGGTTAGAGTGAATGTGGATGAGGACAGAGAAGCAACTATGGCACGGTTTCTGCATGGCTAATGTGGCAGAGCTGCAGCATAATGTGGAATTAGAAGATATGGTGCATATGGCGATGAAAGTAGAACAGCAACTCAAGTGTAAAGGAGCCACCACCAGAACTGGGTGAAATTCAGGTTTCTCATCTTCTTGGAAACTGAATTGGAGCAAAAAGGAAGAAAATTCTGCTTTTAAGCCTAAAACTGCAGCATCTAAGTCAAAAGAAGTTGGCAACAATGAGGAGCAAAACAAATAATACGCAAGGCAGAAACCAAGACATCAAGTGTTTTCGATGCTTTGGAAGGGGGCATGTTGCATCGCAATGTCCTATGGAGAAATTGAAACTGAGGGTGAATCTGATGATGAATCTATGCCACCATTAGAAGATGCTAATGATGGTGTGGAATATGCCGTTGATGGAGAACTGCTCGTCACCAGAAGAGCTTTGAATGTGCAAGCCAAAGAAGATGATGAAGTACAACGTGACAATATATTTCAAATGAGGTGCAATGTCAAAAACAAGGACTTCAAGGACGTGTTTCCAGAGGACATCCCTAATGATGAGAACCCCAAAGAGAACAATGAGACCTACAGCACGACAAGGGATTTCTAAACTCCAGGAAAGCTAAATCAGGTTTATAATAGGACCTTGACCCATTGTTTATGTCGCAACAAGAACCAAAGGTAAAAACCTTGACCCGTTGTCTATGACGCAACAAGAACCAGAGGTATAAAGTTGGTTGACGCCACACCCTCAAGCGATTAAGAACGAGAATGATAAGTAAGGTTAGAACACCACAAGAATAATCTTGATAAGTTCTGTAAAGTTCTGAAATGAACCAAAGAGAAAAGTCTCTCAAAATCTCAGATTCAATAGCCTGCCAATTAGGGTTACAAGCCCCTTTAAATAGGGAAAAGTAATTCTAATCAGAATAGGAAACTAACACCCTAAGCCCTAATCATAATAACCACAAATTGGGCCTTAAATAAATGAATGTTCAGCCCAAAATA